CCCCAAAACCCCAAAACCCCAAAACCCCAAAACCCCTTTTAATATTAAATATATAGAGTGTAAGATAATTAATTCTAAAAATAAATGGAACAATCCTACATGTGATCAATTTTCCAAGAAATTCACAAAGATAATGGTAATGACGCTTAAGGATGCTTTATTATGGACAAATCCTCGATGCTTTGCATACTTATTCAGAACCCCATTAGCAGGATTTTAATGATATGATTAAATAAGGATGGAAAAATCTGATAATATTCCCAATTGAGGGAACAAAAATCAATTGAAAGGAAAATATAGCAGAAATCTTTGTTAAAATATCTTTTTATTGAAGAAAGAGTAATTTCTTGTTGGATACTTTCACTGATAACACATTTATTTTGAGAGAAAAATTCAGTAAACAATTTTGGACAATTCAATATAGAATTAATCACCAGACCACATGTGGTTAGTATTGTTAAACTACTTAAAATTGTTCCCTCTAAGAGCCTTTATAATGACTTAGAATTACCAGTAATTTAATTATTTCATATTTAACCTCAAAAAGAACAAACAAGAAGCAAAGATTAATTTTCCAAAATATCTCCATAATACTATATTTAGTAGCTATATTTAAACCATAATACTAATAATTCCACAGGGGAACTATGGAGAGATAAAGAGGACTCCCGAGAGGCACAGATAGCTTATTTAAAGGAAAATGTTTCCAAAGAATTTGTCAATAGAAATAAAACCAAATACAATATTTTACATCAAATTTCAGCTTCGCATACAAAAACGAAGGCTTTTTACGAATTAAGTAAGCAAAGCAAGCGTAATTTTTTAAAGTATTTTGATATTTGGGATATTTCAGGTTTTGGGTAAAACAGGGAATGTTATAGTTTTAGTGGGAAGAGGATTTGTATAAAGGGGATTTCTTTTAAATTATCTTTTGTTATTTTATTTTTGAAATTCTTAGTTGTTGATGTTGATTATTGTTCAAAGAATTTATAATGGGACTGTTTTTGAGCATGTTTCCATCAGAATTGGAGTATAAAAAGCAAATCTCTTAATAAAAATGAAAATCTCACCAAATTTCCTAACCTTTGCTCAAACTCTCTCAATTTACTTCCTAAACTCCTCTCTCCTTATTACTACCTTCATTGATTACCCTCAAACCCCATCTGTCACCAAACTAATCACAATTTAGAGCTCTATACTAAACTACTAATCCCCGATGCTTCTTGACTAGAAGCTCTGTCTCAACTACCAAGTAGATTTTCCCAAAAATGGAGCATATGCTTGACCCAACTCAAGACTGATGCACCACAAACTCCTGTAGAAATAGAGATCATACTCCAAAGCTCTCTATATTCATCTGAGCTTCCCCAAAACCCACGAATCCTAGAAGGTAAGCCCCTTAGACCCCCAAACCTGACTTCTCTCTAGAGACCCAAGAAGGCTTGATTAAGAACCTATTCAAAGATGGGGTAGAAACAATAGAGAATATCACAAGATCCCTCGAGGTTCTTACTGAAGAAGAGAACGCCTTCTTTACTGCTCATAATATTTCATCTCTAATACTGTAAGATAAGTGTAATATAAAATAACAAGATTTCTTTTGGAGATGACCACATTTTGGCATAGAGATTAGGAAACGGCTTTGAATGGAAATGAAATGGGATGAATAGGTGAACAGGGGGGTTTAGAGCAGTGGGGTGTTGGGCTAGAGGTTAAGAGATTTAGTAGGTGAGAAAGAGGGTTGATAGGTGTTGGGATTAGTTCAAAGTTTCATTATTAGCAGCTTGATTTGGGCCATGTTTTTTAGATATGATGTTTAGTGACTGTAGAAACTCTAGGAATCGGGTATTCAGTAATTATAATTTACTTGGGGTTTTGGGGTTTTGGGGTTTTGGGGTTTTGGGG